AAATTTGATGCTTAAGAAGAGAAAGGGGGGGGGGGCGGAGAAGATATTTGTACATCCACTAACCGCCGCTCACCCCTCCACGCACCCCCACAACCACGGCTGCCCCTCTACTATCCCCCCTCCCCACCAGCCAGGTCATGCAGCCGCTGCGGCCTGGGTAACATTGCCCTGCTTTTCTGGCAGACTGCCAAACGATCCCGGTGAGCGACGCCACGAAACACCGTTGCTAGAGATGACAGAGGGCTTCCCAAACACCAACGATCACCAGCCGAGCCGAGTTGTAGTAGTTGCCCAAAAATCACTCGAAAGCCAGAAAATTAAGAGACTGAAATTGTGGATGGATGTTCATCCTTCGAGGTTTCAAATTCAGCTTTCACGTATTGGTGCGTGAAATTTTAGTGGAAAATCCTGCAACTGAGGAAACAGAAAACATTTCAACTATTTTTGCATAGATCAAAGGGTAAAGCAGCAAAATCACTAGCAGGCAATCGCTCGGTGAACGGAATTGCACAAAACGCATGATCGCACCGGCTGCTCTGGTGCGTGCCGCTATTTATTTTTGCATAGTTCCAGGGTGGGTAGAGGCTCCCTCCTCGTCTCCTCGCCCCTGCTCCCCCTCCCTCCTTTACCCTCCCCAGAAGTACGCCGTGGATCCGATTAGGGTGGGGTTCCACGTGGGAAGGAAACAATGTTATTAAATTTCACCTTCCTAGTTTTCATGGTTTCCGAGATAATTTCCCCACCAAAAATTTCATGGGGCCGTACATGATATGAAAGCGTACAGGAAAACTGAATTTAAATTTTCTGGGTCGCACACCGGCAGAGGACAAACCCACATAATTTCAGTTTCCTAGCTTGCGTGCTTCCCGAGATAATAATTTTACTGCTAAAAATATCAAGAGGCCGTACGTGTTACCCGCGAGCATGGAAAGGTCGAATTTAAACCTCCTGGTCGCACAACCTCGCAAAATTTCAGCTCCCTAGCTTCTGTGATTTCCGAGTTGATGATTTTGCCCGCCAAAACTTTTACGAGGCAGTGCGTGTTGCCTCCGGCTACGGGAGGCTGAATTTAAATATGCAGGACCACACGTTGGCGAGGAATATCCTGCTGAATTTACAGTCGTCCAGCTTTTGTGGTTCCCGAATTGAAAGTGCGGGATAAAATCTGGGAAATACACACGCAGGCAACCTCGTGACAATATTTGTGTCGATGTTACACAGCGTAAAACGCATAAAAAGCATATTGTCGGAGGGTTTTCTATGTGTGTATGTATCTGTATGTGCGTCTGTACCTATTTTTCATCTCAAGACTTAGAAAAGCTAAAAGGCTGAAACTTTGGCGACTTAATCCACACGAACATGCGGACCCCTATCCCCAAAATGGACGCTTTTGCCCTCTTGGCTCCCACGCACAGGCCGTGAAAGTTTTCGGTGGGTAAGCGGCTAACTTTGGAGTCAGAAAAACTAGAAGGCTGAAATTTTAAAGGGATGTTCCTCGCCCCCGTAGAACTTAATGACTTCAAATCCAGCCCCCAGGTGGGTGTGGTTCTCACGTATGTGAAAATTTTCGACGGGTAGGCTGCTAAGTTGGAAACCAGAAAAGCCGGAAAGAAGAAATTTCAAAGGGTTATTTTCTGTCAGTCCTGGTGGCCAGTCTTAATTCTTTTAGCTAGAAACATCTGCCGGAAAAACCGGTGCCCTTAGTGAAAAAAATCTGCGGGGAAATGTGCAAAAAACGCATCTTTGCACCGGCAGTCGGCATGCTGGTTGATTATTCTGTCTCTCCGTCTACTGGCGCATGTGTCCGCGCAGAACCCCAACTTTTTCAGGCTCTGCAAACTATAAATATTATGTTCTCAGGGCATTATTTGGGCGATACATAATCTGACAGAAACTGTGGAAGAGTAGAGGAACGGCTATACGGGAAGCAAGCCTTCTAAAAAGAGATGAAAATCGCGAAAAATACACGCCTACGGTGATTTCCTGCTGCTTATCGCTATCCATGTGTATCTGCCTTTCTTTCTACGAATCACCTTGTTTCCAAAAAATTTCATAAAGTGTTTGTTGCTTTACGACTGGTACTAATTCTTTAGCGTCACGAAACTTTGAAGAGGTGAAGTATCACCGTCCCTGGAGTGAAGCATTGCTGCCTACTGAGTGAAGAAATATCGACAAATGAGCTGAAATTTACCCTCAGAAGATTCGGATTGCATAAAGCAAGAAGATTGATTTCGACAATCATTCGTATTTGTATTATTAAATTGTAAAAAATGCTATAAATTTCCGGTCCTTCTGGTAGTGAGTTATTGTTCTGGGACCAGTGCAAGCTCGACGATTGGTAGAAACAGACGACTTGGAATCATTGCCAAACACTTAATGGGAGTGCGCGACCTTCACAGCTATCTCAGTACTTTAGTAATCTTCTATTATTAGTTTACGGATACGAGTTTCAGCAGCAAGATTTTGATGGCTATGACTCTCACTCACTAAAGTAAAACGAAAAAGAGACCTTTAAAGGACCGCAAGCAGAATCGTACTCGATCACGGTGTCGTGGATGAAATCACAAACAGTGAAATGATAGCAGTAGAAGTGAGTCTCAAGCGGCCGAAACGCTGGCACCTCGGAACGTGTGATGTATACTCCGTAGCGTCCCGATGGCGAAAGGAAACAGTAAATTTCGATTTCTTCGCCGCTCTTCGTCCTGAACACGTCATGCATTGACCAGTGCACACGACAGCAGCCCGAATGGGCAGCAGCCGAACTAAGCCTCCACCAAACAGGCAGGTGATGCTTCTTTTACTACGGCAATACTCAGATGCCACTAAAACACACAGTTGCAGAGGTAATTAGTGTTACTTTTGTGCTGAAGGCTAATGACTCGGGTCCAGCAGCATGTTAGGTAGATGCGCTTTAACTGGTTTATTCAAGCGGTGAAGCAATAGTGCTGGCACATGCGAGGAAGTTAAAATCACTGTTAAGTTGCTTCTTAGTAACATGCGGGAGAAGGAATCACTAAATGTCAGCAAATGGTTGCTGTTGGCATCTGCTCCCACTCGAACTGCTGTCATTTACCCTCACCTCTTACGAAAAATGATTGTAAAAAAGTTCTGAATTTGACTTCACCAGAGCTCTTTGCAGAACCAGCAATTTTTGAGGTGACTTTGAATGAGATCTCATTTTCTTTGATCGAAATAACACCTCTGCACAAATTTCAGATTATACGTGTGCACAGAGAGACTGTTTCACCTTCCTGACTTGTTTCATAACCCAGATGCCTCTGATAACTTTCTAGGGCGAAAAAGCCACTATTTACTTGAATCATTTTATTCATTTCTCTCATGTCCAATTACACAATTGCAGGTTCTCCACCTATACGTAGTTTATTAGCTATCTGGCGTTCGCGACAAGTTCGGACTGCGACCCACTTCTCGCTGAATGTTAATGTTATTTTATTAGCAAGTTTACTAGCAAGCCCGTAATTTATTAAAAAGAACCTCTTGGGAAACTGTTGTAGTGGTAGCGCATTTACTTCGAGTTCCGAGAACTTCATGCTGCTCGGCCAACCGTACACTAAGTGACTGTTACTGATTAAAAGTGTCGACCGATCGAATAACTCCCTTTTAATGAATACTCGCATGCAAATTTTTCGTTCGGGAATCGATTTTAAACACTTTGCAAATGTTTTAAGCTGCGCTAACAAAACAACTGTTTGCTGGTAGATTACGTCAGATGGGATTCTCTCAAAGCTAAACATTTCAGAAGTTCGTTTAATCTTGCATAACCCTTCATATAAAGGCGAGATCGCATGTATTTACTTATGCATGTATGTATGTGTGTGTATGTGTGTGCATAAGCTTTCACACTTGTATGTGCGTTTATGTACGAGTGAGAAAATTTCTGTTTGACTATTTCTCAGTTCCCGAACTGCGAAGAAAGAAAGCAAAAATTTGAAAACAAATTCCTTGACTGTCTACGAATCTGAAATCTACTTTTTGTCTCGCTCTCTGGTTTGACCTGTGTCTGCGTTATTAAAATCAGCCAAGATTTGTAGCTAGAAAGCTAAATAAGTGGTGGTGTTATGTTAAAGAACAGCGGCTAGTAGCGGGTTTTGCAATAAGCTTGTTGGGAATACAAAGCACAACAAGTATTAACACTTTATCGAAACTTCGCTGAATAAAATTCATTAAAATTCCAGATTAATAGCTTGCTCTGTTACGAAGTTAAAACGATGACTTGTTCCTGCATAAGAAGTTAAAACCTCTTAAAATATAGATTTTTATGCGTTTTTGCTGTGCAGCGCTATAGCAGCGCTATAGCGCTGCTACAGCCAGCAAAA